CCCTGCTGAATTTGCCTCTCATGTGACCAATAAAAAATAGAGTATCTGTGAGGTGAGCTGCATTTTAGAAAATGAGTCAGTACACAGGATGATACAGCACAATTTGAGGGGGATTTTAATATTCCACATCTTCGATCACTGTAGATTTTTAATGCAGTTACTATACGATACTGGTAAGAAGTACAGCTAAAGAAAATGCAAATGAGCTCAATAAATTCTCCAGGGTTTTTTGAGTATGTAAGGTTATCCAGCCTGTTTACAGGCCACAGTCTGCTAGAATGAAACAAAATCAAACCAAGCCCTTGCCCTGAAGATATAATTGGCAGTGTTAAGAATCTTAAAATACCCCAGGGACAGTAGTTGCATCTCTACTTCACCACATATTATTGAAAATATTATTCAGCTGTTTATTTATCTGGAATTAGCAGATTAGGGTGTAGTGTTTTAGTGGATACCAAACATCTGTGATAGCAGTTTTAGAATAATAGGCTGAAACAGATCATCACTTTGGGGAAGAATTTAGGCAAATACAGTTGTGACTACAGTTTCTTCTTTTATTTTCCAGGTCAGCTTTGCTAACAGCTAGCTGGGCTCAGACCCCAGCTCTTGAATCTCACATTTTATTAAGTATTCACTTTGCCACTAGTCTTTCAGAAACAGCCTTGTGTAAGGTATTAAAGAACAAGTAAGCCAAGTCAACATTTCAAGATTCTCATATGGCTTTCATATAGCTAGGCAGAGTGTGTCTTTTCACAATTGCAAACCTTTCTTCAAGTTGGATGTTAACACTTTCAGAGTAACTTTTAATGCCAAAACAACATCCTTCCCTTTCAGTTCAAAGAAAACACAACATCTGTCATAATGTGAAATGTAGATTTAATGCAAGTGTCAAGTCAGGCACTTGGTAATGAGGTAAAAACCCTTGAGATTTTAAGTCTCTCTTCCATGCTATCCTATTACAGGGAGGGGAAAGGAAAGAACTGTTTCTTTGGCACTTAGCAGCTTTTCTGTGTCCCTTATCTATCCTTCCCGGACATCTTCTGTAAATTAGTGGATTTTTCCTGGCAGCGTCCCTGCGAGGGAGGAAGGTGTGATAATGTGTGCTTTGTGGCAGAGGGAAACTGAGGTAGGGACGAGACACAGTCCAGACTTGCCGCGGCAGTGCCCGGAGCCCCCAGCCCGGGCTGGGGCGGTGAAGGAGCCCGAGGGAAGGGCAGCGCTCCCGCCGCTGCGGCTGCATCCCGCAGGACGCGGTGGCGGAGGAGGGTGGGAAGGGGGGAAGCAACAGGCTGGTGGCAGCTTCCCGGCCGAGGGGCGGCAGCCGGGGCCGCGGAGCTCGGCCGGAGCTCTCTCTCACTGCAGCGCCGCGGGAGCCGAGCGGCCGCTGCAGCAGCGAGGGCGGGCGAGCAGCGTGTGCCGCTGGGCTACCGAGCCCGGGGAGCAGGGCTGCCCACCCCGCGTCCCTGCAAGCGCGGGCTCGGGGGAGGGACTCGCAGATATCTGTGTGCAGAGGCAGAAATATTTGCTCTTCGGATATGCCCTCTTCTCCCAGCCTCGCCCCCCGCCCCGGTTTTCCTCTAGCCTGTCTCCGCCGGTCTCCCGGGAAGGCTGGTAGCAGCCGCGGGGTAGCCGCGGCACGGTGAGGAGCGGGGATTTCCGGATGCAGATGTCACATCGCCGTGCAAACGACTCCCGCAGTAGCACTTTATCGGGATTTCGACCCGCATCTTTTATCTCTTCTGGAAAAGCGTCTCTCGGAGGAGATTGCCCTCAATAGACCCGCCATAAAAACATTTTAGTATTGCTCTTGTGCTTCTGTGCATCCCTCTGCGAAGGGGTCCCAGCGGTCCCTTGGGAATGCAAGGAGTTGTGAGAAGTTACACAACTGGCCACCGGACTAATCCACTCCCTCTACCTTCCCGCGAGTACCTCCCCCTTCTGCTCTTTTCTTCAATAGCAGCCCTTTCTCAAAATCTCAGGTTACTTTGCTAAAGAGTTCTCAGCCTTATAGTTTCTGCCCTTGTCTCTGCCTCCAGCTCCTTAAGAGCCACCCAACCCCAGCGATTGGATTGGGCAGCCCGTCTTGACACACCACTGTGCTGAGTGCTTGAGGACGTGTTTCAACAGATGGTTGGGGTTAGTGTGTGTCATCACACTCGAGTGGGGATTAGGGGAGAGAGGCAGCCTTGCTGGAGCTGTGTGGTCTTCCCCAAGTGTGAGCTGCAAGCAAAAGAAGAAATACCTAGCTCTGGGGGAGAAACGGGAAGAATCGTTTCCAGCAGCTCAGAAGGAAAAATAAAACCCCACACTTTGTTCAGGTAAAGTAAAAGGCACCTCATGCCGCTCTCTCTCGCTCTCTCTCTCTCCCTCTCTCTCCTTTTTTTCTTCACGGTTTTCAGAGGAATGCTAGCACAGCACACTTGTCAAAGCCAGTTGCTGCTGCCTTATCAATGCTGCTATTGTACGGCTGACAGATAACAGCGAGCACAGCCTGATGCTTGGCCGTCTTCATAGAGCTAAGACTCTTAACGCCGCTGAGGTCACGCTTTCGGAGGTGTAGATTGGGAAATGTCCCCGGGAGCGGTGCATCCATCCCACGGCTCCCCCGCGGGCGCGGCGCTCGGCCGGGCGCACACGCGCGTGCCCNAGCTCGGCTGCGAGGAGGACCCGCGGCAGAGAACCTCCTGGCTTTACAGCAGGATGCTCCAGCGGCGCGCAGCTCGGCTGGGGCTCGGCTGGGAGGCAAAGCAGACCGCTGTGAAAGCGCGTTTGAGATCTCTGTAAAGTTTGAGGATTCCTTTGTAGAGACCTGCCCGGGCTCCTGGTAATCCGCATCGAGATGGTTTGGCTTACACATGGGCATAAAGTTAAGAGAAAATCAGGGAAGTAGGGAAAGGCAGGGTACGATGTAATGCTGCTCTTGCAGCTGCAGCAGAGCAGATGGATGTAATTCATTTGCAGATCTGTTTGTGAAAGTTTTACAAGTCATTGAAAACTAAGTAGCATCACTATAATGGATCATTAAAGACTTGCTATATTTATAGATACTAAACTAGCGATCTGAAGTGTTAATTAGAAGTAGGCAGAAATTTATGTTTAGGAAGGAAGAGGGGCAGAAATATAATTAGAAATTAGTTATGGAAGTACTCTGCTATCATTTTCATTTAATTCCGCTATTAAGTTCATTGATGTCTGGAGCGTGGGAAGCCCAGCAAATTAACTAAATCAGAAATGTTATCACTAATTACAGTATGTTAACTTAACAGAAAAAATGTTTCCATTGTTTTATTCTAAATGATCTAGATGGAGAAATTAGAGGATGGATTATTTTTTCTTATATTTGGTTTAGTTAAAAAATTGCTGTATATATATGCTGTTTTCCTGTGCAGAGTAACAAAATTATTTGCTTTTTTTGCACCATAACAGATCTTCACAGTAACTGTCACATACCTCTGGTGCTTATGAATTATTGGCCTCCTACTTGGGAAAGAAATCTAACACTGTCCTCACCAGTTACAGGTGAGATATTCTATATATATAATACTGGATATAATGTGTTCTGAAATAAGATCTGTTTAGTAGGCTGAGCAAGGGGATTTATAGCTGGTGCTTTGTGATTTTGGTATTCAACTGTGTAACGATGCCCATAAACCCATGTTTCATGTTGCACATATATTTTTGCCTCAAACCAACTTTTTTGTTAACTTTTTTCTTTGAACAGATTATTTGGCCTCTTTACAGGTTGTTCTCAGCTTGTATTTCCAAGCACACTCTTTAGTATGAATGTGTCCTCAGAAGCCATCCACAGCAATTTGAAACAGAGAATTAGTTAAATCCCAAAAATCACTGCACGACTAGACCAAGATTTATGTGAATAAATTTGACCATTTTGGTTTTTTCTCTGTCTGCACTTTCTCATTGTAAAAAGTGATGGAAACTTTTACAAGCTTAAAATGAAAAACAAAACCAAAGAAAAACCTCATTATAGCTCCACGTTAAACTCTTGTATATTGGATTTCTCCTCTTTCTCCCAGTGTGTCCTGTGAGAAGCTCAATACGCCAGCTTCAGCACACAGAGGCTCAGACTTCCAGCAAAGTGAAGATGCAGCACTGCAAGCTGCAGAGCCTGCTGCTGTCACTGCCTAGCAAACCTATCCCTCCCTCTCTGTGGTATCACTGGATCACAGATCTGAAGATCTATAGGAAACCATATTTTTTTAAGAAAGTGCATAGCTAAATACACATGCCCAGCTTGTTATTGTTTTACTAGGGGGAAAAAACCCAAACTAGTTTCTCTAGCACTGCCAGAAAATTGTGCTGAGAAACTAGGAACAGCAAATCATGTTTTTCCTTCCTTCATAATGATGGGGCTGTTTAAAAGACAATGCCCACGGGGCAGTCCAGCTTCTTGTCAAAACGTAATCTACTGTTCCAGATGGTAAACATTCAAAGACATATTTATGGTGACTTCTACATACCTCCCTTTGACATTGGCTTTTTTTTTTCCCTGAGAGCACTTGTGCTGGGTACACACATGAAGTTCCCATTAGCATCCTAGCAGCTGTAAAAGTGTTCAGAGCTTGCAAAGATGTTCCTCACAGTGAGATAAAAATAATCTTAGGAAAAGATCTGAGACAGTACAAGTTCTGTGATATGCTCAAGGTAAAAAATTCCAGAGGTACAAAAAAATCCATAAACTGCTGCATGAAAGCTGTAACACATTTTTGTTGCGGCTAATTCATCTTCGCTTGATATGGAATGCTGAACATACCAGGCATGTCTGTACTATCAACTCTGTTTGTGATGTGAGGCAACCTGCACTGCACAAAAGCTGGTGTGTTTCTTTTTCCCCCAGCTAGTGAAGATTAGGTGGGATATTTACTGTCTTCATAGAGTTTTCAAAGTGTCACCCTGTTGGTTATTTTTTTTCTCTCACTGCTCTGAGCAGTTAGGTAGAGCACAAGAAAATGTTTTCTAGCCAGAATGTGTTCTGCCCTGAATTGTCTTAATTATGTGTCAGTTTATTGCTTGTCAGGGGCTTCCTCTTCTTAACACTTTATAATCGAGGTGGGTGAGCTTGTTACGTCACAATATGCAACTTCAGTTTCTGCTTCTTGGCATGTCTTCTTGGCCTTTCATTGATTTTTGTCTCTGTTTCAGAGGAAAAAAAATTAATTATGATTGGTGTAATTTACATTAAAAAAAAAACCTTGGTGAATTTCCAAATGGCATGTAAATGCACCTTCAGAAAGTAGGCTAAATTAGAGGTCGTTAGAAAAAAAAAATGCATATAGAAATCCAGAAGTATCCTAGAGATTGCAAGTAATAGTGTGAAAATTATTGTAACTGCTCTTATTCCAGTCAGGAACTGATAAAAACAGTTAATTTAAAATGTTGTGATGCTGGGGACAGTGTTCCTAAATGTGCAAGCCGTTACAAAACCCACACGCAGTTGACTTTAGACAACTATAGAAAAAAAATATTTTGAAATATTTGCAAATTCTGTTCTGGCTAGAAACACTTTACTGCAGACTATTTTGACAGTTTGTAGGATTTTTATCTAGCTTTGTTTAGCTTACATCCTGCACTTGATATTATATATATCTATATATATGACCAAATGTTCATGCAAGATGAAGATTTTGAGCTTTGTGTAATGTCAGGGCCCATTCTCACACTGAGGAGGCAGGACACTTACTGCAGATGTCATGGGAGTCATGGGTTCCATGATTTCCTTAGCTTTAGAAAGAGCTTTGAGGGATTTGTGCTTGAGTGGGAAGGCAGACTGATGTGATAACAATTGAGAAAGCTCCTTTCTGAGTGCCTTGAGAGCTGCAGTGTTCAACAGAGAACGAGGGTCCCGTGACAACTCTGCGGTGACACAGAAAGAATCCAATTAGTGGCCACTCCTGCTGTTGATACTAGATCTCTCCTAAAACATTTCCACCATTACCACCCCCATTGTAATCCCATCCACAACACTGATAATGGGATCAAGAGTGTCTTTTCAGAATGCCTGTTTAAATTTTAACTGCCATCTTTGGAGATTTTGAGGATATTAAACCAGAAGGCGCTGAATTGCACATCTCACAAGAGAGCTTTGTGACACCCGTAAGACACAGTGGTCTCCCTCATACTACAATTTCCCAACTGCTCCACCACAGGTAGAGCTGCATTAAGTGGGCTGCAGATGAAGTAGAGGGGCTGTATGTACATAGTGAATAATCCACTGAGTGGTGGCTCACTACAGTTACCTGTAGACCTTGTCCCTGGGCAGTTACATGTGTAGAAAGCAGCAGTCCGAGAGAGTGGGAAGGGGTACAGCCCCCTGTGCTGTGCCTGAGTAGTGGCAGCAAGTCATCCTGTTTCTCCCTTTAACAAGCCTAAAGTCATCTCTCTGCCTTTCCAGCTGGATCAGCAGCATAATATTCTCTCCTGCCCCCCTCAGATTTTTTTTGTCTTCCACTTTTCTGGCTCCAACACTAATTCATCATTTCCATATGATCAGGATGCAGCACCTCCATTGTTATTCTTACCAAGAAGGGCAAGTTCATCGCTGTCATGTGCTTGGAGAGGATGCTGTAAAGTGGAAAGGCTCAAGGCTCTGAGCAGTGTCACCTCGGAATGCAGCACAATAATTAATCAATTAATGGCCAAACCAGACTCTTTTTAGCTGAATTATTTTAACAGTAGTTTCAGTTATGTCAGTAGACTGCTTTTGAGACCCCCTGCAAGATCTTTGTTTAGCATTGCTTGTTCATACTCAAAAGTTGTTAACTGGTGAGAGTAAGTCCATTTTAATTTTAGATGTCTTAAGAATTTTATTTTCTGAGAAAATTAATACTTGTTTCATCTTATGGTTTATGCATGCAGCAAATTTAGTGTCAGTGATTTTCCCAGAACTTTAGTTCCTGCTTTCAGAATCTGCTGAAAGGTTGGTAAGCCTTTTTTACTGTCTGTGCTCTGTTAATCCTGGAGCTCTGAACTTTTCCAGTCATAACCACCACAAGAAGTTTGGTTATACTGAAACGTTTTTTGTAATAGTTGACTTTTACACTCAAGATTTTATCATGATTCCCCTTTTTTTTTATTTCTTTCGCAGCAAAAATTAGCATACAATTAAATATATCAGCTTGCATTATAGTATTTAAATCTGCAAATTTGGTAGCATTGCTGGGATATATACAGGAAGACTTCTAGATGTGGAACTGTGCTATAGAAATCCAGGCTGTAGGTCAGTGCTGGACTATCCATAGAATCCTTCATGGAGTTTCTATATGGAAATAAAAGACTAGAAAGTCAGTGATGTTACATTCTAAAAAAAATCTGCTCCTGGTTTGAATGTAATTATGGCACTGCATGCTGCCATTTCTCTGTGATGTGACTCTAGCCCATCTTAGCATGGAGAGGAGCTGCTTGACAGCAGCTGTATTTTTGTGGTGCTTCACAGGAGGTGAACACTGTTTGGAAGGCCCACAGAGAAGATGGGGAAGCTTTTGGCACTAGAGTTCTGGAGAATAAATGTAACAGGGAGCTGAACACAGGGGATTGTTTTTCTCAAAAGCATCTATTAAAACCGAATAGTGGTCTGTTCCAGCATTGTAATTGCAATGTGCCAAGATGTTCGTTATTCTACCATGTGCACTGTTTTGTCTGTTTTCACTTAAAAACAGAAAAATATGTTGCCAAGCCTGTAAATGTCTGAAAAACTGCCAACTCTCCTGACTTTTATCAGTAGTCTGAAGATATTTAGCCTTCTTTGTAAAGCTTCAAGTGTAAGAGTCAAGATATAACGTGAGAAGTTCAGATCTCTGGTTTCTGGTTTTTTAAACCTAATCCTCCTGCTTGCTGAGACAGCTGGTTTGCATGCAGCTCCAGAAACACGAAGGAAACACAGAAATCCCAAATCTCCCTATGTAAATGCATGCAGGCTGTGTGAACAAGGTGGGTTTGTGCATGTCGTGCCTAGCAATTAAAACAACCCAACTTTTTTTCCTGAGGTTTAGTGTAATCAGTTCCCCCTGAAATTTCTGATCGGTCGTCTGATAAATCCCATTTTGTTAAAGAGGTTTTATTGCAACAGAGGGTGAGGTTTCTTGACTCCTCTCAGACAGCAGAATAGCTTGCTGCCCTGGAGAAACCCATCCTTGATCCTCCCATCCTCTGCCTCCAGCAGTGTGTTCCCATCTCCTCTCCTTGTGCCAGGTTTGGCTCTTGGCTCACCTCCTGGAGTGCTGAATGAACTCATCAGAGCACTGGGAAGCTCTGTTGGCTGCCTGCCTACTGAGTTGGTTCATCTCAGCAAGTGGACAGAGGGTCCACATGGAACAATGAAAGTGGTTGGAGCTGGTGCCTTGGGGTGAGGAGGGGAAACACAAGTCCATCCCTTTAGGGGACTGTGAGCTGTAAGATACTCAGCTACCTGGTGACACCTTCTCAACCCACACACTGGGGCGCTGTGTGTGTGTCTACAGTAGAAGTGTGATAACAAATGTGTGTGACTGTGCCAGTGTCACCATCAGCAGAAGGCTAAACGTGCACTTTTAATGAAAGCCTATCCCTTTTTATTTAGAGAATAGCTGCAGTGTTGCTCAGAATTTGGAAAGTCCTCTCTTACTATTTCTGACTCTCTAACCCAACAACTAGGCTTTGGAGAGAAGCTAATAAGCAGTGTGGAGAGAAAAGAGGAAAGAAACAGAAATGCCTGCTCAGCTGCTGCTTTAAAAAGGTGAATGAGATTCTGAGGGTGAGATCCAGCCTGCATAGCCAAGGTACCCCTTGGGTCCTAAATACTTATACAGCAGCTACCTAAAGGCATGTTCTCTCTCTGATCAATGAAGAGTCTCCCTGAAGAACTCCAGGCACTGCAGTTAGGAAAAAAAGATTTCCTTTTGTAAGGCTTCAAAGGCACCTGCCTCCTTCCATATGTAGGGATGAAGCTCACTTGCTTTGCAAAGATTAAGGAGCTTAACCTGGAAGAACTTGATATCATCCTGAGTTTCTTGGTTAGATGTGCAATGCCATGGATAAACACTGTATTTGAACAGCTGTGATGTAATTCCTACACAGCTCTTTTAGGTGCCTCCTATACTTTCTACAGAAGAATGCATGAAGCAGGTCTTTCATTTGAACCCTGGAGGTATGATTCACTTGAAGAGACTAGGATACTTAGATTAAATGTAATTTTGCTACTGACTATAGAAATAGAACACTGCACTCCTCCAAAGTGTCACCTGTTTCTTTGCTGGGTTATGCTGGCAAAAAAAAAAAAAAAAAAAAAAAAAGTGAATGTAAATTATATAGGTTACAGAAAAATGCTTTTAAAATCACCCAGTGCTGTTATTTAAAGAATTTTTCAAGGCCAGTGGGGTAGATAAAACTTAGAGGAATAATCAGAGATGGTGGTGGTGTCTACAAGCAGTCAAATCACAATGAGGTATAATGGATGATCTTAGAGGATTATGATGTTGGACAAAGAATGGAAGAAAGAGAGAAAAGTAAAAAATTCAGGACACACGTTTCTGGATCTACCTATGCTAAATTTTTTGAGGATTATCTCCATGACTTGACTGCTTAGGGACATGCCAGTCACAAATTAGAGAACAGTAGTGCAATAATAAAGTGAGCATCTTGTGAACAACCAACACAGGGTACCTTTTAACTATGACTTTATTTTTTTCTCCAAGAGCTGCAAAATTGCTAAGAATCATAGATTTTAGAATAATATCTAAATTTTTGGTATTTGGATTTTGGTAACTTTGTGACAATAAAGAATTCTGCATTAATCCAAACTTTGTAGGAATATTGAGCAAAGGTTCCTTTGGTGTCGTTCCCTGCTATTTTATTTTAGCTATAACATCTGAAATCTTGAATGTGTCTTTAGTAAAACACATGACAATTTACCTTGTTGTTACCTCTAAAAGATCTAGGGCCAATTTATGAACTGAGACTGTAACACTATCTGCTTGGCCACCAGGAGATGGTAGGATTTAGGGAGACATCTACCACAATTAGACCAATAAAAATGTTCTCCAGTGAACACAAGTGGCATGAGCACAAATATCTTTCAGGAATTCCAGTAGTTTCTTTTGTCTCTGTATTGTGGAAGGTTGATATTTTTTATACCTGTATACCTGTTTTTACACTGTAAACTTCAGTCCATTGCCAATGTATAAGGCTTACAGAGGAAAGCTTCCTGTGCTCTACTGCTCTGCAACTCAACTCCTAAGTGAAAAAGGCCATTGAATTTGGGTTTTGTTTTCTTTCTGCTTGTTATGGAAAATTCCTTTAAAGCAGAGATCCTCTGAAGGGAGGAAGGGCAAAATGAAGAGACTTTGAGGTATGCATAATCAGGGGTCACCAGAGTCCTCAAAAAACAGCAGTTCAACATAGGAAGATGTACAGCTACAGAGACATATTCAAAGAGGTACACCAGTTTTCAGATTTTGTTCCATCCTTTGCAGCTCATGTCCAGTTTTGTTTTCAATAAGTTGCTCTGCGAACATTTCCTCCCCACAAATTTTGCACAGTTTTTCACATTATCAATTTGTGAAGGGTTTGAGATGTGATATAACCATGTCTCAAGAAAAAGATCTGTGTTACAGCTATTTGTTTTGGTCTTGGATACCATGGATATCTATAGCACAAAGAGCACATCTATCAAATCCTCTGAAACCTTTAGAGAGGATAATAGTTGCCAACATGCAAAGTGCCAGATAAAACACGGCTACATGGCTAAGTAGAACTGACGTATGTGCTGTCTTGGACAAGTGACATCGTGCAACTGTATCTTGATATTGTGTGTTTTGAGGACCCTGTCTGCCTTATTTGTAAGGCTGGAGAATTCACTGCTCTTTC